TTCTTATGCATGACTATCATACTTAGTGAATGTTTCTAGTAACCTATATTTCTTCTAAATTTTTCTAAAAAGTGTTGGTGCTGGTGTTTGATGTGATCTTTCTTTGATAAAAGTTTGGATTCGACTATACTCCTTAGGGAGTCCTCATAAACTCTAGGATGAGTGATATTGTGTATTTCCCTTCATGCATTCTATTAGACTTTTGAATTTTATTGTAAGGGTTGTGACCCTATTTGACAGCTGATTGTAATAGATGGCTAATCTAGACAAGTTTTGTATTCCACTTTGTTTTTTTATGAAACTTTTGGACTTAACAAACTCATTACACTTATTGTTCTAATGCTTTGTGTTATGATATGCTAAGTGTCTTACATGTGCCTTTAGGGGTATTATGTGCCTTATTACGTCTAAGGGGTACCCTTGGGTTGTGATGAACTTTGTAATCGGAGCACAAGGTTTAGAATGATTAAGGATTAAGTCTCATAAGTCACATCTAGTAGAGTCTTGTTCATGAGTGTGAAACGTTCCAGATTTATGAATGAGAGACTACAATATGTTAGAAAATCTTACTTCTTTCATTTCTCTTAAGTCGTGCCTTATAGTCTAACTCCATAAAAGTCCCTCTCATAATTCTTCTCTTGTCTCTTTAGGAAATGAATACACAAAGGGATAATTCTAGAAGGGTGGAATAGGAGAATGTGAATGAAGGAGTTCATCAAGGTAATAAAACTCCTTAAGCCAACCATGATCCAACTGTTCTTCGACTAAGTCAAATGAGGAGGTTAGGTCGGCTTTTCAAATGTTGGCCAAAGCTATGACGACTCAAGTTCATGTTTGATCATTCAAGTCCAAACAATGAATGTTCAGGCTCATGTGAATCTAAGTATAAATTCTGCAGCTTCTAGATTGCGACATTTTGCAAGAATGAACCCTCATGTGTTCCTTGGTTCTAAAGTGGGAGAGGATCTTTAAGACTTTCTTGAAGCAGTTCATAAAATAATTGATTCCATGGGAGTAAATTCTTTAGAGGAAGCGGAGTTAGCCACTTACCAATTGAAGAGTGTGGTTGAAGTATGGTATACTAAATGGAAGAACAATAGGCCGATGGGAGCAGGTCCAATAGAGTGGAAAGTGTTCAAATTGGCATTGCTTGATTGATTCTTTACTCGAGAGTTATAGAATGTTTGAAGAATTTGTTAACATTCGTTAAGGAAGTGTGAATGTTCAAGAAATTCTCTAAAGTTTACCCAATTGTCCAAGTATGCTCCGGATTTGGTGGTAGACTCAGGGTATATGATGAGTAGGTATTTGACGGGTATGTCTGCATTTGTGAGAAAAAAATGGTGTTCGGCAATGATTCAAGATAATATGGATATCTCACATCTCATGGTGTATGATCAATAAATTGAGGAAGGGAAATCCCAAAAGAAGAATGGGGAGGTTAAATGAGCTAGAATAGGTGATAGGAATTTCTCTAATTTTAGGTCCTATGGACAAGGTCGAACAAGGTTCAAACCAAGGCAACTCTAGTGCTCCCCCAAAGGTCAACAGT